TGCTAATCGGGGATCTCTAGATGTGTTGGGTCGACCACCTTCACTACTAAGTAGACTTTGGGTCATAGTAACTCAGAATGATTGGTTCGTGGTTCCCTAACTTGGCTACCTCCATCCCTTAGAGATTGCTTCTCCCTTCCTTTGACCATCCCTATTAAACCATTTCGCTTCTTTCACCTTCATTGGTATAATCTCGATGGCCTCATTCCCGATGAGCTACTGTTCGTTTGAGATAGAACGATTTGTCATTTGCCCTTATAGCTTAGATGTGTTTTGTCGATTGGGATTCCACGTCAGGATGATTCAGTTATTTCATAGGCTTCATGTGTATCATGTGGAATTGTGAGAGACTCACTCTCCATCCTATGACTCAGCGGGAGATCTGAAAGCATCATAGCAATCTCGTTTGAAATAACAAACCTTTGATAACCTTATGTTGGTTGTCACTTCTAATGTAAGCAAAATTTTATAGATCAAGAGTATTATTCGACAACCCCCAAGTGAAATTAACCAAATGGGATACGTTCCATTGGGAGCACTCTAGACCCCATAACAAGCAAACACACCTGAATTTTTGGTAATGGGTAGTTTATATAGATATTCTTTCGCGGATATTGGTCAAAGATGTTTCTGTTCGATCTTATTTGGGCGGACATATTTGACCTATCATTGCGAGATTTATCGTATGTTTGTCTTTACCAGTTTCTCTCTTCTCATAATCATCTGCATGATTCAGAAGAGAGACTTATTAAAAAAATGAAATTATGTGACGATGGACAAGCTTACGACTTCTTTAAAAATAAAAAGAGAAATGAATAAAAACAAGCAACACCCGACCTTTCTCATTCGTTTTATTTGGTTTTATTTATCTTTTTGCTTCTTGTATGTGACCGACCTTTCTCATTCGTTTTATTTGGTTTTATTTACCTTTTTGCATCTTGTATGTGATTGTCAGTTTTTCACTTTCTATCTTATGGATTTTGTTTTAGAATCGCGTGAATCACTTAAGCTTTCTAGGACCTAAAAATTTATAATTTTCTTACAAAATCCTAATAAAAATTTAAGTTTATTTAAAATTTATAAATAAAACATTTATAAATTTCTAAACCTACACTTTATTTTTCTCATTGTCTTCAGATTTTAAATGAGTTGCGCAGCAAGGCTATCACCAAAGTCATAATTAATATGGCCTTCACGTTTATGACATATTAGACAACAACATCATATTTCATGTCCCGATGAGAAGTCCCCGTGCTTCTCCAATTTGAATGACCTAGCATAGATTACTTCTTAGGCAGTCTTCTAGTACAATTAGGGTATTAGAGGCTTTCTCGACATAGACAAGGAGTAAGTCCTTTATTGAGAGTGTTTTTAGCTTTATAGTTGAATCTCACTATTCTTTTTCACTCCAATGACATCCTCTCTACTTAAGCAGGTATAATTTCCACCTCTGCTCTTCCTACCTGCATAGGGTCATGAGATTATAATCTTTCTCTATTAACCTTAGGATTAGAGAGGTCTCATTGGACGACGCAATTCTTGAGTTACTGACAAGGTGGTCTCAGGTTATGTAGTGTCGGCTACCTTTAGGACCAGGAAAACAAGAGGTCCTAATAGCTTGTGATGATAGATTTATGGTATCCTGATCCGACTATATTTACCCGATTAGGATCACCCCACCTCTCATTTGCTACCCACTTTGAGCCCTGTTGGTCTATTTGACGCTTTGTCGATGTAGACTCGTAGGCCCCGACTGTAGATAGGTCGTTGAGACACAGTGATTCACCTTCAAACCTTATGCCTCGATTAGACTATGGAAGAATAGTGTGGACCTTATAAGGCGACTCGATTATTTCATAGGCTATGGTCATCGATAAGCTGTCAAACACATGGGATTGTGAGAGACTCACTCTTAACCTGTATGGATCGGTGCGAGCTTTGAAGGCACCAGAATGCTCCCTTAAGATAACCATCATTATGACTCTCTTTACTAGTCTTTATATAAGTGTAAGCGTGATTTTTTTTAATCGAGAGTATTCTTATGCACCCATAAGATGTAATTAACCAAAATGGATACATTCATTTGAGAGTTGTTATTGACCCTGTAACAAACAACCACAATGGAATTTATTAGTTATGTGTTTCCTTGTAGAGGCTTATCCACTATATGTTTTTAAGGCATTTTTTATTCGATCTTGTTTAGACGTACACACTTGGGCCATTAAGTTTGCTTCATGAAAGTTCTCAACATTATTTATCTTATTTGTCTTCATTGTCGCATGTTCTTACCTTCTGATTTCCTCTCTTCTCTAGATTTTCCATATGATTCAGAAGAGATATTTACTTAGAAAAGAGAATTATACGACGATAAACAAGCTGACAAATCCTTTGAGAAAAAAAATGAGAAAAGAAGAAAATAGAGAACCACAAAATTTATATGAGCATTACAATTCTCAATCATTGAAGGTCGTCTTCACGCCATGAAGATAACATGCGGCGCCTAGGCACCATACGAAGTTCTATGTGATACTAGCATGGAATTGTGAAGATAATGTCTCAGTGTTATCAAGCAAAAGTGGGTATAACATGTAGGTGTCGTACGGTGGCGCCTATGGGCCATACTCAAAATGGGCATAACGTTGTCGTGCTAGGGATAAAACAGAGGCTCTATTACAATTGTTTAACTCAAAAGTGAGGAGGGGATGTAGGAGAGCTCATAGCCTATAATTTCCTCTAACAACATCCTAAACCAAATCCTCTAACACAAAACCTAATGCTATGTCAAGAAAAAGGAAAGAAGATTCCACCTATACAAAGAGTTCGTGGAAATCCATAATGTTAAATGCTCCAAAGTTGCAAAGCTCCTTGCAAGCTCCATTTGCTTACCAATGACACTGTCTCCGACAACGAAAATTCCATAAGAATGTAGGATGACGCGGAAGGAAGCTCACACACAAAATCTTAAGTGGAGAGCTCTCACCAAGGAACTCTTCGTTTTCTTTCTCAAGAATGCAAGGGAGACAATTGCGATCAAAAAGTTAAAACTTTAGGTTGCTCCTTTTAAGTTATAAAATTAAGCTTCGGCATCACAACATAGTGGAGTTACAGTGTTGCCGTAGTGGAAAGTGCCACGTCAGCCTAATTGCGGAACATTCGTGTTGCAACGTGGCGGAAAAAAATTCATCATTTTGCTCGATGTTTGTCATTAGGGCCACAATGTTGCTGATGTGTCAGTGTCATCTTAGCTTAATTTCTTATGAAAAAGCTATTATTTATAAATATATTAAAATTTATAATAATATTATTTAAATGTCTTCCCAAAATAAATGAAAGGCATCTATTGTACATGTGATGAAAAGTGAATGATAATTTGAATGTGATATTAAAAATTTAAGCATTATGCATGTAAATATTAAAGTTTAGGTGTTAAATATGTAAATACATAAGATCTGTGTGGTATGAATGTAAATAAACCATAAAACTATGATACAAAATTAAAAACATTTAATGCCACAAGATTAATATTTATAGATTATATTTTTAAAGAAAAAGGATGATATCCTTAAACACTAAAATAATTAATTGAAGTAGTACCACACATTTATGCATAAATTCTGTAGTTCGAAAACTCGCGTAAGACGTGGATTTGCAAATATCAACATTTTGGATGTTCTGTATGTAATTATCTCACAGTGAAAAACCAAAAAAGGGAAAACCATGGTTTATTGGCATAATACAAACCGACATAGTCGAGAGATAAAGGTTTGCAGACGAATTTGCTTCTTCAAGCGATTTTCCCCCATTTCTCACCTCCCAGTCACAGTCCGCTTCTGCGGGAAATCTTCCACTAAAACCCTCGCAGTGGCCGATTTCGTCGCTCTGTATGTGCTGATCGATCCATCTCGATGGCGGAGATCTCTAAGCTCCTTGAGATCCTTTGCGAGACAAGGCCCCCAAGGTTTTCGCAGGGGTTGCTCTCCGGTGCTGCGCGGCCCGGCCTGAAAGCATTCCTTTCTATACTGGAAGAGGGAATTATAGTCGCCGAAGACGGTAGTTTGGCCTTGCAGGGCTGCAGTCGGTCACAGATTGAAGCAGTCATCTCGGTTGCTGAGGTGATCGTCTCAGCTATCCTCTCTATCTCAGGTGTGGCTCCGCTAATGTCACCTGAAACTTTTTGTTCGAAGTGAGATTGGTCCAGGGAGCTTTACTAAATGTATTTTCATTTACTTTTGAACAGTTGAGCAACAAGAGCTGTTACTTGTATCGGTCGTCCAGAAATCCTTAGAACTATGTATTTGTTTTCTGGAGAAGTTTTCATGTGATGGAGGTGATTTCAGTTTGCAGGTTCGAGGCTTACTGACTTATATAGGTTTCAGTTAACGTTATTCTGTTCCTGGTTAGAATTATACAGTTTCATCACTGTTTAGACATGCCAACTCCTCTCTTAAACCAAGATATGTCGTCTGTTTACAGACTACTTTCCATTCACGCAAAGTAATCGTGCGGATCAAATTTTTCTGAACATCCATTTTTTTTTTGTAATAAAACTTTCCCGAAGAAGACTAATTTATGGCGTTGTAGTGGCATAATTTGCATGCACCACACATGCGTGTATGTTGGGACTAGAAACTATCTGCCTAGATATGTTGATAACTTTGTTCTGTAAATGCAAGTTTATCAGTATTAGATTTAACTATTTGGGGTTCTCTTTATGAATCATCTTTTTCTATTAATTCATGTTGAGTGATACATGAGATTTGTAGTTCAGTTATACCAAAAACGAAAAAAAGAAAAAAAAAAAGTAAAAGGAACGACAAATTTAGTTATGTCACTTTTATACCAACTCTTGACATTTCTAATCCTTCCACATTAATGCTATCTACTAGCCCCATTGATGTTTGTTTTCTCTTTGTTATACAACCAACGGGGAGATTGGTGAAGCATCAATGCCATGGAGCCGTTGATCATCATTAGCCATTTGATTTTCACACATCATCAGGACTCATCATTTTATCCAGGCCATCATTTGTCATCGATAGTTATTAGCTTTTATGCATAGAAAAAGTGATGCAAGAAACGAAAGAAGATACTAAGAAAGTAAAGCTTATTGCTTTTCAATAATTTATTTCAAAAGCTACTGAGTAAAAGTTCATGCTTTATTTATGAAGTAAACCCACTTACAAGTTAAGGATAAAATAAGAATAATCAGGGTGCTAACATCTAACTGTTAATAAATTTAAAATCTATCATGTAATAATTAGAGTTATTCTTGTTTGGAATCTTGTAAATTTGGGAAAATGGAGAAAGATTTTCTTCCCATTAATGCTTTGGCTAATAGACTCTGGTTTAACCCTCTTTAATGAACAAACTTCAGATCGATTCTTAAGATTGAACAAAACTAAAGTTATCATAAACCACCACTTTAGAATGATGAATTGTGACATTGCTGAAGATAGTTGTAGTTTTATGTGTTGTGAGAAACGACGATAATAAAAAAAAAACTGGATCGAGAAAAAAAATCACAAAACAAAAAAAAGTGAAACATACAGATTTACGTGGCTCGGCAAATTGCCTACGTCCACGGAGCTACAAAGGATTTTATTACTCGAGGATTACACTCGTTGATCTCCTAGACGATTACAAGAAAACATTCTTTTTCTTCAACTTTTTCTCTCTCCTCTCTCTCCTCTCTCTCCTCTCCTTCTCTCTCTCTACCTGAGAGCTTCAATCCGAAGCACACCATAAGAAGAACCTGGAAAGCTACTAATGCCGAAGTGAGATAATAAGGGGAGCTAGCATGCCTATTTATTAATTCCATCATACCATTAGACCCATTAGAAAATTAATTAAATAATTAATAAAGCTCATTAGTTATTTCCTTTTATCTTATGCAGCAAATCATAGAAGGAATTAAGAGCAATTAATTTAGCAATCAATTTTGAGTATCAAATCCAATTTGCTGTTAAACATGAGAAAATACCAATTTGAACAGTTAACCGATTTCCATATTTGTAACAAATCTCCTACTTGGAGACCGGTACACTGGCTGCATCATTCACTAGCTGCGTTGTCCTTTTCTTCAAACGTGATATCCTCCACTCCTGCAACTCAAAGTTCCGATTTTCATGTCAGAAAATCAGCTGAAGTCGAGCACAACTTTAGTTTCTCAAGAGTAACACCATTAGTCGACATATCATTGTCAACATAGCTCTATATCTCCAAGCTCTCTCTTGGGTTACTCATTTTTTTCTTACAACTCCTACTGCATGGTCAATATATTGCCTCTGCCGAAAACCCTTATCAACAAGTCTAGCCTTATACCTCTTACTGCCATCAAACGCAGTCTTTAACCAGTATACACACTTGTTGTGCAATGTCTTATTCCCTGATGGAAGTTCTGTCAGCTCCCAAGTTTGATTCCCTGACAGAGAATCCATCTTTTCCGGTTGCTTTCCCAGTAACATAAGATAAAATTTATTCTCATAGAGGTAGTCCTTTATCTGTTTACTTTAATAACCAAAATCTGTGCCATTAAATTTTTCGATCCTCGATGCCCTTACTTTGTCTCCGACCATCGTTTTCTTTCAGATCCAAACCTGAGACATTATAACAGTTGTTGTGAAAAACGACGACAATAAAGCGAAAATCCAGATCGAGAAAAATTTGCAAAACAGAAAACACAGTGGAAACACACAGATTTAAGTGGTTCGACAAATTGCCTATGTCCACGGAACAACATATGATTTTATTACCCGAGGATTACACCCGTCGATCACCTCGACAATTATAAGAAAACACTCATTCTCTCTACCTTTTTCTCTCTCATCTCCTTCTTTCATTCTCTCTCTCTACCCAAGAGCTTTAAACCGAAACACACCAGAAGAAGAACCTGGGAAGCTACCAATGTCGAAGAGAGATGACAAGGGGAGTTAGCATGCCTATTTATTAATTTCATCATGCCATTAGACCCAGTAGGGAATTAATCAAATAATTAATGAAGCTCATTAATTATTTCTTTTTCTCTTCTGCAGCAAATCATAGAATGAATTAATAACAATTAATTTCGAGTATCAAATCCGATTTGCTTCCAAAAATGAGAAAATACTAATTTGAACAGTGAACCGATTTCCATATTCGCAACATTATGTTGAGAAATAATTGTACGAGGCACCATGAGGTCCTCATATGGTTGATGATAAATATCTAACTCAGTCATGTTTTTATAGGAACTAGAAGATCCAACTTTTAAAACTGTAGGAATAGGGTGGATCTATCTACCAACTAACTATCAATAACCAATGAATGCAGTAAGTCAATAAATGAATTTTGAGGAATGCCCGCTTCATGAGAACACCCTAAGGGCACTTAGGCAGTTGGTAGACTCTATTTTAACATGAGTATTTACAGCATAAATATCGTGTATGTTCATACAATGATCAAAAGAGCCAATCGCTCTAGAGGAAACCCTGGACTTGGATACTTTTTTGTAAGCCTCATCATGATCGATACAAAAGATTCAAATCTAAGGATGATGTTTGTTATAATCCTTATATGATTGGAAACCGTTTAGTCATTATATAATCTATTCTAGCACCTGTCAATTGTTTGCCATAAATATGTAATTTTTTTTTTGCACAGCTGAGTTTTTTATAATTTTTTTCATCCAAGGCCCAATAAAGCACTCATGATTCACGATGTTATTCCTTCACAACATCAAAGTAATGCTATTGAGTAGGCCTCATACAACAAATATATCAGATTGAGGTTTTTATTCTGACGCGAAGTATCTTATAAGTACTTAGTGATTAAATTAATACTCTAGGTTGTTTTGTTGTTATCAACTAATTTCTTGTTCAAATTCATTAAATAAGAGATAATGTAGGAATAACTGTATGATGCATGTGTTTCATCTGGTCATTAGTAGGATTAATCATGGATTGATTTCATTTTTTTAGAAGTCATATTTTTGGATTGCAGAATAACTGTTTACATATCATGGAAATGGCAATGATTTTTGGCTCTGTTAATGACCACCACTTAACAAAAATTGAGTCTTTAAACACCCTCGTGGGGTTATTGCCTCCTATCATTGTTCAAGATGGCGGTGGTGATTTGAAAAAAGGTCCTGCATCCAGTTTGGAAGGTAATAATCCGTAATTGAAGTTAACCAAGTTCTTAGTTTTTCCTCATGTAAAATATATCTTATTAGTTCTTAGTTTTGGTTTAATGCTTTTGAGAAGGTATTTACTGCTTGAAGAAGGGACATACCGTGGATAGAGTCCAGAAGTTCCTATCTTTGGATAAATCAAAACCAGATTGTTTTGCTAGACGGTTTTCTGAATATCCTACTACTCACTTTTCAGACAAGATAAAGTCAATAGCACAACATTGGGCAATTTTTTGCTTCAATTGCTTCCCTCGTCTACTCATACTTTGCCAGCAACTACTACAGCCCCCCATTTCCTTTGATGATAAGATGGATGATGGAGGTTTTTGTTTGAGAGTGGCATTTGCTGGAAGAATTCTGAAATTACTTGGACATCTTATGAGGGAAATTCCTCAGGGTCCTTGTGATTCAGAACTGTTATGTGCAGTAGCAGGCTGTGCTGATGCGATTCCTCCTTTGCTCAAATTGAAAGTTAACTTTCTGAACTTCGATTCTGCAAATTCCGGTAGTAATCTTGGGAGCCTGGTGTTACTGGTGTTGGAGGAGTTTCTAAAGTTTGTCCAGAATGGATTTCTAGATGATCTGGTAACTCAAAATGTCCGCATATGCATTCTTGCTTCCATGTTAGATATTTTGGATTCCAACTCTTGGAAATATGATAGTTTGCAATCTTCAGCAGAGGCTCCATTGGTTTCTTGGCCTCAGATTGTTATATGCATGGTTAAACTTCTAAATGACGTTAAAAGCTGGATGTCTCATGACAATAAGTTTGTACTAGAAAATCATTGTTTGGAATCTGATGTGTGTGGTCCTTCGTGCTGTGTTGGTTCAACGAAGGTCCTTTTGCTGAGAAACTATACTTTTGAGGAATATGTAAACTTAATTTTTCCTCAATCAATACAATGGTTGGATGATTTGATTTATCTTGCATTTTATCTACACTCCGAAGGAGAAGACTTAAAAGCAAAGTCTGAAAAACGACGTATAACTGTATTGAAAACTTCAATTTCAGTGGAATCTGATGGTGGGGCTAATCATGAAGATGAAGCCCTTTTTGGAGACCTATTTTGTGAAGCCAACCGTGCTCTTGGATCATCAGATGGGGTTGAACAACCATCCTTAGCTGTTAGTTGTAATGAAAGCTATCACTTGCCAATCCAAGCTGCATCTGAACTGCTGCTTTTTCTTAAGACGAGTATATTTTCTCCGGAATGGGATAATACAATTTTTGAGCATGCTTTCAGAATGCTTAATGAGAATCACCTAGATTGGTTGCTTCTTATTCTTGGTTGCCAAAACTGTTTGTTTGAAGCAGAAAACAGTACCGTTTCACCTACGAAGAGTACCATGCATTTGAGTGAGATCTGCTACGAACTATTGCATGGTATTCTCGGCTGCCAAGCTTTGTCTTTTTCTATGAGAGAGAGTTTTGTTGATAAAATATTGCGTGTGGAAACTGGAAGGCATATCTATAATAGTTATTCCCTTGCTCTGTTAGCTCATACTTTGATTTCCCATTTGAGATTAGATGGTAGCCATCTGACGATGAGAATCTTCAGCGCATATGTTAGTTTTGTTTTGGGGAAGGTCAGAAGTGTCTGTTCTAGTTGTCCTGATTCTAATGATCTTTTGACGACTCTACCTTGTTCTTTTCACTTAGAAATTCTTCTGATGGCATTTCACCTGTCAAATGAAACTGTAAAGGCTGAAATTGCTAATTTTGTCAGTTCTTCTTTTAGACGGATAAATGCACCTCCTGATGGATGTAGCACGAGGCAATTATCTTACTGGGCTATTGTAGTGTCCAAGCTGGTCTTGATTTTGCGGCACATGTTACTGTATCCACGAACTTGTCCTTCTTGGTTACTTGTACGAATGAGATCGAGATTGAGGGAAATCTCTTCCGGAAAATCTTTGTTTCGTTCATTAGATGATCATATGCCATCCTGGGCATCCATTGTGGCAGATGTGATGATTGAAGATTATGGAAAAGCAGCAATTGATGCTATCTGGCATTCTCATTTGATTGACGTCACTCCTCTTCCTGATCCCTTATGGAGGGAGGATAGTTCTGTCAAGTGTTTGGGATTGAATTGGAGTGATATTTCTGCAACATTTTCATGGATTTTGGATTTTTGGATACATAAGAAGGCTGAAACGGTCGAGCAGTTACTAATTGAAAGATATATCTTCTTGCTTTGCTGGGGCACAATTTCGACTTCCAATTTTGATGATTTTTCATTTGTTCATTCTTCCAGCAGGCTTGATCTTGATCTTTCAAGCGCACTGTCTTTCTTTCATTTTGTCCTGTCTGTGAGTAGCGCTGATAATGATAGCATCATTCTTTTGGAAGACGTATTGAATCAACTTCTGAAATTTTATTTAGAGCTTAAATCAGCTGAGATTCGAGTGCTTGGTTGGAATTTCTTAAGGAGGGGTGCATGGCTTTGCATGACTCTCTCTTTGATTAACTCTGGCATTGTTGACTGTCTTTCTAACAATGTTAATCCAGTTGATGAACCATTCTGTAAATATAATCCAAAAAACAGCCGATGTGAAGATTTTTTGCTTTACATGGTGAAGAGCAATAAGATGGGATGGCTTTTAAATTTAGTGTCATCTATTTTGAGGGTGCAGTTGCAAGTTCTCCGGGAGGCATTTATTTTGGTCACAAATCAAAGTGGTAGGTTTCTTGTGGATGAGTCTTCTCCCATTCTATTGCTTAAATATACCAGGCTTAAGAAAAGTGAACAGGAGCTTTTGCTTCAGAAGTATGGTTGCAGTTTTGAAATGCTGGAGCCAACATTTGGGCTTATGTCGAAGCTTGAAGAACATATTAATAATGAATCCGGATTCAATGTTGAAATTTTTTGTAGGTCCTTTCTTCATGGTTTTCCATCAAATTCAGATCCTTCAAGTGCTATTTTACTTTCCAGTGCTATCATTGTAAGAGAAATTTTGTGCACTTTGGAAGGGTGTCTCAAGATCAAAGATGCTGGATTGGGCTTTGAAATTGAGACGACCGTGCTTCACGAACTCCTTCAAATTATAATGAACATTCAAAATGATAGAATTTTCGTGTGTATGCATGAAAAATGTGAAGCTTTGGTTGCAAGTCTTAGTGGTCATCATATGGAATTGTTAGGCTATAGTGACTTGTTTGCATTGAAGCAAGTAGAAGGGCTTCTGGCTGCCATGAATTCGAGTGACTCGATTGATTCTGAGATGCATGAATTGCTTATTGCACATATTGTTGATTTCATTGAAGCCTTGCAAGGTGATGATCTCAAGGTAGGAATTTTAAAATTTTATCTGGGTTCTGAGGATGGAATTCCTGAAGCTGCCAGAGAATTTTTCAAAGAGCAGCGTGGGGACTTGTTGGTCATCATAAATTCATTAGATAGATGTCACTCTGGGACCATTAATTTGAAGGTCCTTAATTTCCTTATTAATCTTTTATCTAATGGACTTTGTCCCGGATTAGCAGAGAAGATGCAGGTAAAATTTTTAGATATGAAAATGCCACACCTATCAAATTGGTTGGAAAGCAGACTACTACTATGCTTGATAAAATCCCCCAATGATGATATGCATGCAAAGGGAATTTCTACATCTCTAAAAGAAACTACCATGAGTTTTATTACTCATTTGATAACACAGCCTTCGACCAAATTCTCTGAGATGTTCCACGCTCATATTGTTGATGGTTTTCTTATGTTACTTGATAAAGCTTTTATGTCATATGATCTTCACACGTCTAAAGCTTATTTCATTTTTATGCTCCAAATTTTGCATGGAAGGACATCCATAAACCTGCTTTTGGAGAAACTATTGCTTCTAATGGTCAAGTTGGTGGATAGTGAGGAATTCCTTCCAGGCTTAAAATTTCTTTTTAGTTTTCTTTTTTCTTTTTTCGGTGATTGTGGTGCTAACAAGAAAACTATGGAAAATTTTCCATCAAAACTCAACTCAAATAACAGTTTTGGATCAACGTCAGTGAATTCAAAATCATTTGGCTTCCAAAAAAATGCTGAGAAACTGGTACTTGTACGAAATCCAGAAAGCACTTCTGCATCAATTGAATGTGATGCCACTTCTGCTGATGATGATGATGATGATGGCACTTCTGATGGTGATTTGGGTAGCCTGGACAAAGAGGAGGAAGTGGATGGTAATAGTGAGAAGGAACTTGCCTCTAAAGTATGCACATTTACATCGAGTGGCAGTAACTTTATGGAGCAACATTGGTATTTCTGTTATACTTGTGATCTGATCCTCTCTAAAGGCTGTTGTTCCATTTGTGCTAAGGTCTGTCACAAAGGTCATCGTGTTGTTTATTCTCGATCAAGTCGTTTTTTTTGTGATTGTGGGGCAGGGGGAGTCAGAGGATATTCATGCCAGTGTTTAAAACCTCGGAAGTTTACAGAGACCAACAATGTAACATCCGGAGGCGCTAATAGCTTGCAACCTTTTGTGCACTTGTCTGAAGAGACTGATGAGGGAGCAGATAGTGACTCTGATTTGGAATATGATGCTTGTGTAGATCTTGACAATTCATTGAAATTATCTATTTTTAAAGATTTTCAGATGGAGTTGCCGAGCATGCTTGAAAAACTTGATTTTGAAAGTCCAGTAATTGAAATTTGTGAGCGTCTACTTCCAGCACTTAATAGTCAAAGGGATTCAAATATTTTAAAGGATAAGAAAATAACACTGGATGATAATAAGAAATTATCATATAAAGTTGATATTTTACAGCTAAAGAAGGCTTACAAGAGTGGATCACTTGACCTTAAGATCAAGACAGATTATCCAAATTCCAAAGAACTCAAATCACAATTGTCTATCGGTTCTCTAACCAAATCATTGCTCAGTGTCAGTGCTCGAGATAGGCTTGCTGTTGGAGAGGGCGACAAGGTGGCTATATTTGATGTTATGCAGCTAATTGGACACCCAACTGTAGGACCTGTTACGGCAGATAAGGCCAATGCGAAACCACTTTCTAGGAACAATGTTCGTTTTGAAATAGTGCATGTAGTCTTCAATCCTATTGTTGAAAACTATCTTGCTGTGGCAGGATATGAAGACTGTCAGATCCTCACCATAAATCCTCGAGGTGAAGTGACCGATCGTCTTGCTATCGAGCTAGCTTTGCAAGGAGCATATATACGCAGGGTGGAGTGGGTTCCTGGTTCTCAGGTCCAACTAATGCTGATTACTAATATGTTTGTAAAGATATATGACCTATCACAGGATAGCATCAGTCCCATGCACTACTTTACACTTTCTGGTGATTTGATTGTTGATGCAGTGCTTATTCCAGCTTCAATGGGAAAACTGTTTCTTCTTGTTTTCTCAGAAACTGGATCTTTGTTCCGGCTGGAAGTATCAATGGAAGGTGATGCTGGAGTTAAAGCTTTAGAAGAAGTTATTCAGGTGCAGAACAGAGCTACACAGTCAAGAGGTCATTCTTTATATTTTTCCTTGACATACAGGTTGCTTTTCTTGTCTTATCAAGATGGAACCACCCTTATTGGGCGCCTTGATTCTAATGCGACTTCGCTTGTGGAAGTATCAGCTGTTTTTGAAGATGATCAAGAAGGTAACATTTGTCCAGCTCGATTACAACATTGGAAAGAATTGTTTTCAGGGAGTGGAGTTTTTGTTTGTTTCTCAAGTTTCAAGTCTAATGCTGCTTTGGCAGTGGCCATGAGTCCTAATGAATTATTTGCCCAAAACCTGAGATATGCTGCTGGATCAGCTTTATCTTTGGTTGGTGCTGCTGGGTATAAGCCTTTTTCAAAGGATAAAACTCATTGTCTTGTTTTAAATGATGACGGAAGTCTTCAAATTTTCTCCTACGTGCCAGTAGGGGACGTTTCTGCATCAAACAACAATGTTGAGCAAACAAAGAAATTAGGATCTACCATTCTTAATAACAGGCTTTATACTGTTTCAAAACCAGAATTTCCTCTGGACTTCTTTGAAAAAACAATTTCAATCACGGCTGATGTGAAGATGAGTTGTGACACCCTTAAGAATTGTGATTCTGAAAGTATTAAGCAAAGACTCGGACCAGAGGATGGGTTCCTCGAGAGTCCAAGTCCTGCAGGCTTCAAGGTAATAACCTTGTTCAAATGCTTTTTGACTTTTGAACAAACTCACATGCCTTATGATTCCAATGAATTAGTTACATTTTTTTTCAACATTATATTATCTTTTCTGTTTCAGATAACCATATCCAATACAAATCCAGATATTGTTATGGTTGGCATTCGGTTAAATGTGGGCAATACATCTCCAAATCATATTCCTTCAGAAATTACAGTTTTCCAAAGGGTAGTTAAATTGGATGAAGGAATACGTTCATGGTATGATATTCCTTTTACTATTGCTGAATCTCTTTTGGCTGATGAGGAATTCACAATCTCAATTGGCCAAACATTTGATGGTTCAAGTCTTCCTAGATTAGATTCTTTGGAAGTTTATGGACGAGCTAAAGATGAATTTGGTTGGAAAGAAAAAATGGACGCTATTCTAGACATGGAAGTCCATGTATTAGGAGCTAATGCAGCTGTTCAGGGTCCTAGAAAGAAGTGCCGGACTATGCAAGCTGCTTCTATCTACGAGAAGGTTTTGGCTGATGCACTTATACTCCTCTCAAAGATATGCTTATTAAACCGGTCACATTTTGCTATGGAAATTGAAGGTGCTAATTTAGAGTTTAATAAGTTAAAATGCAAAAATGTTCTGGAGACCATTTTTCAGAGCGACAAAGAACCGTTATTACAATCCGCCGCTTGTCATTTTCTTCAATCCATTTTTCCAAAAAGGGAGATATACTACCATGTATGTATGCAAGCAATGCTTCTGTTAATGCTTTGGCACTTAATCCTGAATGTTAACTTTTTTCATTGTATTTCCTTCGATTTATTGCTCAGGTAAAAGACACTCTTTCCCTATGCTCATTTCAAGAATTGGAATTGGTGGAGCTGTAGCCGGATGGGTTATAAAAGAGTTTACATCACAGATGCACGCTGTCTCTAAAATTGCTTTGCATCGCAGATTAAACATGGCTGCTTTTCTGAAAATTCATGGTAAATCTTATTTATTTTTCTTTGATGAGCATACCATATCCATTTATCCATGATTATAAATAATAAATGCATGCATATTATGGCATTAAAAAATAAGCCATATAAAACATTATGGAAGACGGACTGATGATGCGTATATGTGAAGCTAGGTATTTTGGTAGCACTTTTATGGTGCAAATTCTCAGAATTGATCTTTAAAACCATGGCTTAGGATAACATGATACATTAGTTCAACTATGAAACGGTTAGGAATTTAAGCACATATTTGGTCTTACATTGGATTGAAGTGAAACGTCTAGAGAGGAGAGAGAAGGATTGGTTGAGAGAGAACATGGGGTAATGCAGTAGAATGATGTTTCTGGGAGATGGTAGGTGGTTGGACGAGAGGTAAGGCCTAGGAGAGGTATCTTATCAGGCATAGGGGAGGTTTGGTAACAATAAGAGAAGTATTAAGTTACTTTGTTTGTGAGAGGAGTTTTAGGATGAGAGAGAATGTTTTTTCATGTGGAAGAGAGTAAGAGAGTTGTCATAAAAGAATAATAGTTGATTAGGAGGTTTAAGGGCCTCTATTCTATATGAAAGAGGCGGAAACAAGGCTGAGCTAACCAAAAATATACCGAGTTAATCATGAAAATCTTTTCACCCTTCATTGACTTTAATGATCTATTTACAATATCAAATGGACTTTAAACTTTATCCACACACAGCCCATGATTTTCCTGATGTCAGGGAAAATAAATCATGCATGATTTATAGAAAATAGGACTAAAAAATAATAAATCTCTCCTAGTATTATGTTTGTGAAATAAACCATTCCTATTTAATTATAATTTCATGAAATTAAAATAACTTTTGGTACCATGACATTGCGGTGTTGCTGCAGAAATTGGTAGATGGTCTCCATCATCTTATTTTACCTTTTTTTGGACCTTAAATATATATGATTTGTCAATTGATCTTCCCCTGCATTTTATTTCTGGAATATTATTTATTTATTGGTTCATAATTTTCTATCCCACTTATTATTCCTTTATTTAACTCGGTGCAGGTTCTGGAGTAGTGGATGGATTAATGCAAGTCTTGTGGGGTATTTTGGACACCGAGAGACCTCAGACACAAACAATCAATCACATTGTAATACCTGCTGTGGAGCTTCTATATAGTTATGCTGAATGCCTAGCGTTACATGGGATGGAAACCTCTGAACATTCTGTGGCTCCTGCTGTCACATTGCTGAAGAAACTTCTTTTTTCTCCATATGATGAAGTTCAGACGTCAACCAGGTGTTTTGAGCATTTTTTTTATCAACTTTTTTTCATTCCTATAAATATCTTTCTTTTTTGCTTTGGATTTGTAGTACGACTTACTGGTATTTTCTCACCTGTTTGTCTCGATTCCAGTTTGGCTATGTCATCCAGGTTGCTTCAAGTTCCTTTTCCAAAGCAGACAATGTTAGCTACTGATGATGCCGCAGAAAATTCTGCAGCACAAGCTCCTTCTAGTGGAGTTACTGATGGAGGTAATGCACAGATCATGATTGAGGAGGATTCTGCAACATCATCCGTACAATACTCTTGTGATGGGTGCTCAACAGTTCCTATATTACGCCGGCGATGGCATTGCAATGTTTGCCCAGATTTTGACTTGTGTGAGGCATGTTATGAAGTTTTAGATGCCGACAGCCTCCCTCCTCATTCTAGAGATCATCAAATGTCTGCAATCCCTATTGAGGTTGAGTCAATTGGGGTTGATGGCAACGACATCCATTTCTCCATGGATGACTTGAATGAAGTTGGGATAATGCCGATAACTGTTGATACGAGCATGCTGAACTCTCCATCTTCAGTTCATGTTTTGGAAACTAGTGAAACTGGTAACTTTTCTTCATCTGTGGTTGACCAGCGGATGGTTACAATTTCAGCTTCAAAGCGTACTGTGAACTCTTTCCTGCTTCGTCAATTACTGGAAGAGCTCAAAGGATGGATGCATACAACTTCTGGTGTGCGGGCAATTCCTGTTATGCAGCTGTTTTACAGACTCTCTTCTGCAGTTGGTGGCCCTTTTATAGATAGCTTGAACCCTGAGAATTTGGACTTAGAAAAATTTGTAAAATGGTTTTTGCATGAGATTGATCTCAGCAAACCATTTTCCACTAAAGTCCGCTCTTTTTTTGGGGAAGTTTCTATTCTTGTTTACATGTACTTCACTTTAATGCTTCGGAATTGGCATCAACCTGGCGGTGATAATTCTTTATCAAAACCTGCTGGTGCTGCTGACTCCCAAGATAAAACATCTGTTCAGGTTCAGTTTCCATGTTTGACGCCTCCATCCTCCGATGATAAGGAAAAAAATGAGTTCACCTCACAGCTCATTCGTGCCTGCTCAGTACTAAGACAACAGCATTTTCTTAACTATTTGATGGATATATTGGGCCAGCTTGTGAATGCCTTTAAGTCGCCATCGGGCAACTTTGAAAGCGGGGCAGCTGGTTCGGGTTGTGGCTCTCTGTTAAGTGTTCGAAGAGAGCTTCCAGCTGGTAATTTCTCTCCTTTCTTTTCAGATTCTTATGCAAAAACACACCGTGCTGATCTTTTTGGGGATTACCACAAGCTACTGTTAGAAAACACTTTCCGCCTGGTTTATAGTTTAGTACGCCCTGAGAAGACCGAAAAATCAGCTGACAAGGATAAAACATGCAAGATGGGACTCGGAAAGGATTTGAAGTTAGATGGATTTCAGGATGTTTTCTGCAGTTATATCAACAATCCACATACCGCATTTATACGTAGATATGCCAGAAGGCTTTTCCTGCATCTATGCGGAAGCAAAACTCATTATTATAGCGTGAGAGATTCATGGCAGTTCTCTAACGAGGTTAAGAATTTCTACAAACTCGTGAATAAAACAGGAGGCTTTCAAAATCCAGTGACATATGATAGAAGTGTCAAGCTTGTTAAATGCTTGTCGGCTTTATCTGAGGTGGCTGGGGCCAGGCCCAGAAATTGGCAGAAGTACTGCTTGAAACATGTCGACTTTATACCCTTTTTGATAAATTCAATCTTTTATTTTGGGGAAGAATCTACCATCCAAGCTCTTAAACTTCTGAATCTCGCATTTTTCAATGGAAGGGATCTTGGCCCTTCCACACAGAAAGTGGATGCTGGTGATGTGGGGTCAAACTCTAAAAAGCTTGGAACTCAGTCTGTAGAATCAAAAAAGAAGAGAAAGGGAGAAGATGGAAATGAAAATTGCTCTGACAAGGCTTTTATGGACATGGAACAAGCTGTAGAGACATTCAATGACAAAGATGGCTCTGTTTTGAAGCGATTTATTGATTCATTTTTACTGGAGTGGAATTCAGCAAGTGTTCGTCTTGAGGCTAAGTGCGTTTTATATGGCATATGGCATCATGGAAAACCATCATTCAAGAAGTCTATGCTGACTGTTCTTCTAGGAAAGGTGAAATTACTACCGATGTATGGCCCAAACATTGTGGAGTGTATAGAACTCATGACCTGGGTACTAGGAAAGGACCCTGATGGAACTATTAAGCAAATTGACACAGAACATGTGAGTTTCTGCTTAACATCTGATGTTGTAAGCAGTTTGTTTGATACTCTTCACTCGCAGAACGAGCTTTTGGCAAATCACCCAAATTCAAGTATCTATAACACCTTAAGTGGCTTGGTAGAGTTTGATGGTTACTATCTTGAAAGTGAACCCTGTGTAGCTTGTAGTTGTCCAGAGCTTCCTTATAGCAGGATGAAGCTGGAAAGCCTAAAATCGGAGTCAAAGTTTACTGACAATCGGATAATTGTGAAATGTACTGGAAGTTATACCATCCAAACAGTGACAATGAATGTACATGATGTTCGGAAATCTAAATCTGTAAAAATTTTGAACTTGTACTACAACAATAGGCCTGTGTCTGATATTTCAGAACTAAAGAATAATTGGCTGCTGTGGAAACGTGCTAAAAGTTGCCATCTTGCCTTTAATCAGACAGAGTTGAAGGTCGAATTCCCAATTCCTATCACTGCTTGCAATTTTATGATTGAGTTGGATTCCTTTTATGAAAATCTCCAAGCTTCCTCACAAGAGTCATTGCAGTGCCCTCGCTGTACCAAGTCCGTGACGGACAAACATGGTATCTGTAGCAACTGCCATGAAAATGCTTACCAATGTCGACAATGTCGTAACATCAACTATGAAAATCTTGATTCCTTCCTATGCAATGAGTGCGGTTATAGCAAATATGGGCGATTTGAATTCAATTTTATGGCAAAACAAAGCTTTTCGTTTGATAATATGGAAAATGATGATGATATGAAGAAATGTTTGGCAGCAATTGAAGCAGAATCCGAGAACGCACATAGAAGATACCAGCAACTTGTGGGGTTTAAGAAACCTTTGCTTAAGCTTATCTCTAGTATCGGGGAGCATGAAATCGATCCACAGCAAAAAGATACTGTCCAACAAATGATGGTTTCATTACCCGGTCCTTCATGCAAGATAAACAGGAAAATTGCACTTATTGGTGTGCTTTATGGTGAGAAATGCAAAGCTGCTTTTGATTCTGTCAGTAAAAGCGTCCAAACTCTGCAGGGTCTCCGGAGAGTGTTGATGAATTACCTGTATGAGAAAAAGACTGAAGACGCTTTTACTCCAGCCAGATTGTCTGTTCTCCGTTCTCCAAGTAATTGCTATGGATGCGCTACTACATTTGTTACACAGTGTATGGAGTTGTTGCAAGTGCTGTCAAAGTATCCAGCTTGCAAGAAGCAACTTGTTGGTGCTAGAATTTTATCTGAGTTGTTTGAAAACAACATTCATCAAGGTCCAAAGACAGCTCGTATCCAGGCCAGAGTTGTCCTCTGTGCTTTTTCAGAAGGGGATTCTACAGCAGTTGCTGAGCTGAATACTTTGATACAGAAGAAAGTGATGTATTGCCTAGAGCACCATCGCTCCATGGATATTGCAGTAGCAACTCGGGAAGAGCTGTTTTTACTTTCTGAGACGTGTGCTTTGGTAGATGAATTCTGGGAAACAAGGCTCCGTGTTGCTTTTCAGCTTCTATTTTTTTCAATTAAGGTGGGTGCAAAGCACCCCTCCATATCAGAGCATGTTATTCTTCCTTGTTTAAGAATAATATCTCAGGCATGTACTCCTCCTAAAACTGATGTTTCAGAAAAGGAACAAGGAGGGAAATCAACTACCTCGCAGTCTAATAAGAGTGATCCTGCTGTAAAACCTTTTATATCCTTGGACAACCATGCTGGGGTGAGTAAGTCACCATCTGACTTGCCAGAAAAACAATGGGATGGGATTCAAAAGGCTCGGGATATTCCACTTTTGAGCTATTCTGAGTGGGAAAAAGGTGCTACTTATCTTGATTTTGTTCGGAGACAGTACAAAGTCTCACAGGCAGTTAAGGTTACTTCTCAAACGGTTCATCGAGATTCTCAGAGGTCTGATTATTTAGCTCTTAAATACGGACTTAAATGGAAACATCGTTCTTGTAAAAGAACAGCCAAGAGCGACTTCTCATCATTTGCACTGGGCTCTTGGGTTTCAGATCTGATATTAAGTGCTTGTTCACAGTCCATAAGATCTGAAGTATGTACTCTCATCAGTTTACTATGTCCACAAGACTCGCCAAGGCGTTTCCAGTTGTTGAACTTACTCATGTTGTTGCTTCCTTCAACACTACCCACTGGTGAAAGTGCAGCAGAATATTTTGAGTTATTCTTCAAAATGATAGATTCTGAAGCTGCTAGGCTTTTCTTGACTGCAAAGGGATGCCTGACTACATTGTGTGGATTAATAGGGCAGGAGGTAGGTAATGTGAATTCACAGGAGCGGAGCCTCAATATTGATATCTCACAGGGATTCATCCTCTATAAACTTATCGAGCTGCTTAGTAAGTTTCTCGAGTTACCCAATATTCGGGTGAGGTATGTCTGCCTTCTACTTTTGGAAGATTTACATAAATACCACTCAATTCTTATGTATTTACATATCTAACACTTAAACTTTGATTTTTACATATATGCCACCTTACCTACGCACGAAAAGATGTATTTAACTTTTCAAAAGTTAAAATTGTGGTATTTTTTTGTGTTATATGAAAGATTTGGGTGGTTTAAATTATAAAATCAAAGTTTTAAGTGTTAGATATGTAAATACGTAGGAATTGGGAATAAGGATTTTATCGTTTAACTTGAATTATTGATTTTTTTAATTTTGCCAGATTCATGAAATACGAGCTATTATCTCAAATGCTCGAGGCTCTCCTTGTCATTCGAGGTTTAATTGTGCAGAAGACGAAACTAATAAGCGACTGCAACAGGCTTCTAAAAGATCTTTTGGATGGTCTAATGTTAGAGAGCACTGGTAACAAACGCAAGTTCATCCATGCATGTATTTCTGGCCTACAGAATCATGTGAAGGAGAAAAAAGGGCGTACTAAGTTGGTAAGGAATGCTAAAGTTTGAATTCTTAAATGATTCCTATTTTGAAAACTTCTGCTCAACGTTATGGTTTTTTTTTATCGCATTTTTTCCTTTTTAACAGCCTGCCACGAACTTTGACTAAATTTATAAAATCGAAAGGGCCAAAGAAAGAAAAATTGAAATTGAAATAAGAATCTTGTGCACAAATTGGTGTCGGCACCACTTTGCACCTAACCTTTTATAAGAGTTTCCATTAACTAATGGAGGTGAACAAAAAGTTGGGTCTGCAAATGGAAAAGATCTATCCTCAATTTTAGATACTAGAATAATAATGTCTTTCATTTGTAGTTTTACGATTAAATTTTAAAGTTGCTTTGATTGGCTCTTGTTGACTTTGCCGTTGTGCAGTTTATTTTGGAGCAGCTCTGCAATATGATATGCCCATCTAAGCCTGAGCCAGTTTATCTTCTTATCCTCAACAAAGCACATACGCAAGAGGAGTTTATAAGGGGTTCTATGACGAAGAATCCTTACTCGAGCGTTGAAATTGGTCCTTTAATGAGAGATGTTAAAAATAAAATTTGTCATCAGCTTGATCTCCTAGGTCTTCTAGAAGATGATTATGGGATGGAATTGCTAGTTGCTGGAAATATAATATCACTTGACTTGAGCATTTCACAAGTATACGAGCAGGTGTGGAAGAAGTATCATAGCCAATCACAAAGCAAATTGGCCAGCGCTGTCATACCATCCTCTGCTTCATTCACATCAAACCGAGATTGTCCCCCAATGACGGTAACATACAGACTCCAGGTTAGTTGCCTAAATTAAATAATTTTTACTTTAATGAAAGATCATTGGTTTTGGTCGCATGTTGATTTTAGCCTCAGAATAACTCATGCATGTAGATTTGTTTGAAAGATAAGACGCTAAAATTTATCAACCCGCTCCTCATATTATAGGGTTAAAACCGTTGCTTAATGGCTACATATTAATGACCCTTTTGTCTTAAGGAGAGCTCACCTATGTTGCCTTATTTGTAGAAATTATTACAAGTATATCAACTTGAAAGTCCTTTTACCTCTATAAGGACTCACTTTTATCGGCTTGTATGCTATACTTGGTAGGAAATTTTAATTCTACGTTCTTCATAAATTTCAGTGCTCTCCTGCAGAGTATTCTATGTTTTGCGACAAGTGATTATATTTTTGTGCACTTTTATGTTCCCTCAATTAGAAGTCATTCTGCTCCACTACAAACTTTCCTTTATTTAGTGTATTTATTACAATGGAGTTTTGTTTCTAAAGGGTTTGGACGGTGAAGCAACTGAGCCAATGATTAAAGAACTTGATGAAGAAAGAGAGGAATTACGTGACCCTGAGGTTGAATTTGCAATAGCAGGTGCTGTAAGGGAATGTGGAGGGCTTGAAGTTATTTTGAGTATGATCCAGGTAAGCAGTTTTTGCTTTTATAGTGAATATTTATTTTGCATGGTTCCATCTTTGGCATTCATAAGCTGAACCATCTTAAAGTAAAGGTGGGCATTTCTCTTAATTTTAATTACTTTATAAAAATATTAAATTTTAGGAGTTTGTCCCCTATACATATATATATATATATATATATATATATATATATACATACATTCAGGTAATCAGTTTTTGCTTTTGTAGTGAATATTTATTTTGCATGGTTCCATCGTTGGCATTCATAAGCTGGACCATCTTAAAGTGATCCCTTTTAAGTGTGGCCGGCTATATAAATCCTTTTTCTCAATTGACAGAAAAACATGGGTGAAACCACCAGCATGGCCACTCTCAAAATTTTTATTACTTTATATAATGATTAGGTTTTAGGAGTTTACCCACACACGATTTATGATTTTGCCCAATCCTCATAAAAAATGCCCAATTTAACCACCTGTTTATATATATTTTCTTCAAAATTTTCATTCTTATCTATTTATATTTCCATTTCATAAATCCTGTAATATTATTTTACTAATTATTTGTATTTCTTTCTGAAAACACGTTATACATATTTTTATTCATTTAATAATACTAATAATAATTATAATTATAATAATTATTATTATTTAATGCTTAAAGCTATTCCCACCCCAAAAAATGGGCTGATTCCGCCCATTCTTGTAAGAAAATGCATAGGGTGTGACATGTTTCCACTTCGACAATAATACTTGCTTCTTAAATCTTTTCTTACTAAGTTAAAATATATGACAGAATCTGGGCGACGACAAACTGAAATCTAATCATGAAGAACTGGCTTCGGTACTCAATCTTCTGATGTATTGTTGCAAGATACGAGAAAACAGGCGTGCTTTATTACGCGTAGGAGCCCTGGGGATGCTTTTGGAGACTGCAAGACGTGCCTTCTCAGTTGAAGCCATGGAGGTCGCCGAAGGCATCCTTTTGATCGTCGAGAGCCTCACAATGGAAGCTAATGAAAGCGATATCAGCATCACCGAAAGTGTCCTCACAGTCACGAACTCCGAAAGTGGTGCTGGCGAACAGGCAAAGAAGATAGTTCTAATGTTCCTTGAAAGACTAAGCCACCCTAGTCTAAAGATGTCCAATAAACATCAACAGAACAACGAGATGCTAGCAAGGATACTGCCATATCTGACTTATGGAGAACCAGCCGCAATGGAAGCTCTCATCCAGCACTTTGATCTTTGCTTGCATAACTGGCATGAATTCGACCGGTTGCAGAAAGAATACAATGATAACCCCAAAGTCGAGAGCCTGGCTTCACAAGCAGTGAAGCAGAGGTCCGATGTGGAAAATTTTGTTCGGGTATCCGAGTCTCTCAAGACGAGTTCATGCGGAGAAAGGCTGAAAGACATCATTTTGGAGAAAGGAATCACGCAGGTCGCCGTTCGATACTTACGAGAATGTTTCACAGTTGTGGGTCAGTCGGGCTACAGATTGAGCAACGAGTGGGCGTATGGTTTGAAACTTCAATCAGTTCCACTAATTTTGTCGATGCTGAGGGGGCTGTCGAAGGGTCATTTACCGACACAGAGATGCATTGATGAAGGAGAAATTTTGCCTATCCTTCATGCTCTTGAGGGGGTACCTGGAGAAAATGAAATTGGTGCGAGAGCTGAAAACTTGTTGGATGTTTTGGCAGATAAGGAGGATAATGGTGATGGTTTTTTGAAGGATAAAGTGCGTAAATTGCGACATGCTACTAGGGATGAAATGCGTCGACGGGCTCTGAGAAATAGGGAGGAGTTGCTACAGGTATCCCTTCCTGATTTTTACATTCCCGATTAATGTTTTTCCTGTTGGTTCATTGGCAGTGGAACAGCATATAAGATTTACATACATACCACTTAATTTTTATGTATTTACATATTTAACATATAAATTTCAATTTTTACATATACGCCACCTCACCTATACATACAATAAAAAGTTGTGTTTCACTTTTTAAAAGTTGAAGTAGTGGTATTTTTGATGTGATATGATACATTTGCCTGGTATAAATGTAAAAAAAGCAAAGCTTAGGTGTTAGATATGTAAGTAAATACATAGGAATTGGGTGGTATGTATGTAATTGTCCCCCTAAAAACATTTCTTTTGTTTGGTTTTACTTGTTTTTTAATCAATTGGCTGGAATGCCTAATTTTGTTTGGTTCCTTGACTACTCGATAGTCTATAGAAATCTTTTCAATGTAGGAGGTATCTAGTAAAATAAACAGATATATATTATAATTTTTTAAATGTACCGGGTCTTATATGAATTTATTCTTGATTAATAGAACTATTTGTTATTTAATTGAATCTTAATGTACAGAACTGATTAGTATTTATGCTTATTTATCTGCACTGTTGAATAGATACATATTTTTTTTTGTATAATTCTCACGAACGAGTATTATGCACTGTATTTAATTTTCTATGGGACATATTAGCACTTTAAACATGTCATTTACAGGTCTTTTAGTTCAGCAGCTAAAGTTTGTTTCTTATGTTTACAGTATGATCTCTTTTTCCCTTTTACCGCACTTGTCAGTTTTGTCATTTGATTTATCTGAAGTGTTTGTGTGTGTGTGTGTGTGTGTGTATGTGTTTTATTTTTTTTAAGGAAGTTTACATACGTAGCAGGTAGTTTTTATGCATTTTCATATCTCACTCTTAAATTTTAATATTTACATACATAGCACTTGGATGTTTTAAACTTATGTGTGAAAATGTTTATTTCAGTTCTAAAATGTGGTAGTAGTGTTATTTTTTATGTGATATTAAATATTTGAGTTCTAAGTGTGTAAAGATGAAAGTTTGGGCGTGAGATATGTAAATACATAAGAATTGTGTTCTATGTATGTAAATGCCCCCTTTTTTTACAGTATGAATTAAGTTTAAGTTCATGGCGGAAAGGGACTACAAAAGCAAGGTCTTCCCTGACCTTTTTGCCTTGATGTATTCATGTTTTAAAGTCACCATTGTTTAATTCAAACAATTATGAAAGTTACTCGTTTGACTTTGTTGCCTCAGGGAATGTTTTCTATTTTTTAGTGAAAATGGCGATATTACCATTAATTTGAACTGCCATGATTTAATTTTTTATCTCCTGTTCAAATGTGCAATTCATTTTTTCCATCTTTTAGGGTCTGGGTATGCGGCAAGAGTTTGCTTCAGATGGAGGCGAACGAATTGTTGTTTCACAGCCCGCAATCGAAGGCCTTGAAGATGTTGAAGAAGAGGAAGATGGATTGGCATGCATGGTTTGCCGTGAAGGCTACAATTTGAGACCAAATGAAATGTTGGGTGTTTACTCCTATAGTAAACGCGTTAATCTTGGCACAATTTCGTCTACAAGTGGGCGAGGAGATTGTGTTTATACGACTGTGAGTCATTTTAACATAATTCATTTTCAATGCCATCAAGAGGCGAAAAGAGCTGATGCTGCACTGAGAAATCCTAAGAAAGAATGGGAAGGTGCTACGCTTAGGAACAATGAGACGTTATGCAATTCCATTTTTCCAATAAATGGTCCTTTGGTTCCGGTGGCACAATATGTTCGGTACGTTGATCAGTATTGGGATAACCTTAATGCTCTTGGCCGTGCGGATGGAAGTCGACTTCGATTGCTCACTTACGACATCGTTCTGGTATGTTTTCTTCTTATTGTATGGCTGTAATTTTAAACTTTTAGGGATTGTTTGGGATCATTTTTATTATGGGAAATTTACTTTCTTAGCACACAATTCTTTTGTATTTACATCTGACACCTAAACTTTCATATTTATATACATAGCATGTTAGTGCTTTAAACCTATGCATGCAAATGTGTATTTCGCTTTCAAAAAGTGATAATAGTGTTATTTTTGATGTGATATTAGAGGGTTAGGTGTTATGCATTTAAATATGAAATTTTAAGTGTGAGATATGTAAATACATAGGAATTGTGTGCTATGTATGTAAATCTCTCATCTCTCTTTTTTGTTTTTTGTTTTTTGTTTTTATTTTAAAAACATGGTTGTTTAGTGTATTTTTTGTCTGCTTTCAAGTTTTTATTATAGATTTTTTAAGTACTCAAAACATCGAAAAGTTTTTTTTGAAGTGTTTTTAAAAACAACTGAACACAATAAACCATACCAAATAGGTTTTATTTCAAGTAAAAACATATACAAAACAAAATAAAAATAAATAACAAAAACCAAAAAATACCCTTGGTCTCACCATACACGACTTCCAATTGTTTTCTATTGGAATACCTAATGCTACTATCACTTAGCAGGGTGAATGTTTTATGTGTCCCTTTATATAACTTGTTAAACACCACTGATCATCATTTTTATTCCCAAACTATTTTTTATTGGACATTTAGACCTATACATAATTAATTTTGAGTGACTTTAGGAGTAGGTTAGCCCTAAAAAAATGGCACTAGATTTTGGTCATACATCCATTTCCCACCATAATGGATGGTAAACATCAAACCCTTTCACTTATTTTTCAGTTAAAATTGGGTCAAAAACTCGAAATATCCTAACCAAAATTTGGTCAGGATGGTTTTAAAAATCTTTGAATTCATTTCGAGATGAGCGCAATACGCGAATAATCAACCGTCTATTACATTGCACTCTTCTCAAAGCAAACACTAGCTTTAAAAGTCATTGTGACTAAATTTTGGTTTTCTCGCTGGCTCATGTATTTTACATATCCAACACCTAAATTATACTTTTTTTTTTATATATTTATACCATCTAAATCTCTCATATCACATCAAAAAGATCACTCTTTTCACTTTCAAAAAGTGAAATACACCTTTTCATGCGTAGATAGGTGGCATATATGTAAAAATTGAAAGTGTAGGTATTAGATATGTAAACACGTAAGAATTGAGTAGTATGAATGTAAATCTCCCTTTTTTTTCTTTCCTCTACTCGTCTGTTGGTGCTTATGAAAATTACTCTATTCATTTGAGATTAGTTTTTTGCAAGCTCTGCTTAACTTCCCTTGAACATGTTTCCCTTCAATTATGGTTAAAAAGCTTAACATTGGACCAGCAAATTTACTGGGAAAGGGTAAGCTAAAACGCTAAAGAGTTTTCAATAGAACCCTTAGATGAGTCCAGTATACTTAATTCCTGGACCTTAGCTTGATTTCTGAACTTTGTTTAGTTTTTGGTGCATTTATATACATAACCACCCAATTCTTTTGTATTTACATATCTAACACCTAAACTATACTTTCTACACTTATACCACCCAAATCTTTCATATCACATCAAAAGCAACACCATTAACTTTCAAAAAGCCTTTCATGCATAGGGAAGGCAAATCTTTCATATCACATCAAAAGCACCACCATTAACTTTCAAAAAGCCTTTCATGCGTAGGGAAGGTGGTATGGTATGCATGTAGAAGTTAAAAGTTTAGGCATTTATATACATCTTAAAAATTATTTTTTTTCCTCCTCTTTTGCTCTCTGAACTTATGCCTGCCTGCATTTATATTCGATGTAGATGCTGGCCCGATTCGCCACCGGTGCTGCTTTCAACACCGACTGCAAAGGCGGTGGACGAGAAAGCAACGCCCGCTTCCTCCCCTTTATGATTCAGATGGCCTCGTACCTCCTCGACCATGGAAGCTCCAATCAACAGCAGCGCCAATCCATGGTGAAGTCTGTCGCCGCATACCTCTCCTCCTCTCCCCCATCCCTCTCCCCCAGCCGCCCTTCGCCTCCTTCGGCCGCTCGCTCTCCCATCGCCTCCTCCGACGAAACCATCCAATTCATGATGGTGAACTCGCTCCTCTCCGAATCCTATGAAAGCTGGTCACAACACCGCCTTGGCTTTCTCCAGCGGGGCATCTACCATGCCTACATGCAGCACAAGCACGGCAAGTCATCGTCCTCCCTTCGCCTCGCCGAATCTTCCTCTCCGTCCACTCGGATACACGAAGGTTCTTCAACCGGCACTGACGGCAGCGCAAAGCTCTTCGCTGTCATCAAACCAATGCTGGTATACACTGGTCTGATCGAGCAGCTCCAGCGATTCTTCAAGCCGAGCAAACCGTCGAAGATGGAGGCTGTGGAGGGAGATAATGAGAAGGAGAGGTGGGAATTGTCGATGAAGGAGAGGTTGGTGAATGTTAGGGAAATGGTTGGGTTTTCAAAGGAATTTCTTTCGTGTCTCGAGGATATGATCTCGGCCGTCGATCTTCAGGAGGCGTTTGATGTGATGGGGGCTTTGGGGGATGTTCTTTCTGCTGGATTTTCTAGTTGTGAGGATTTTGTCAAGGCTGCCATTTCAACTGGGAGTTAGTTGAATGAGCTGTCTGTCCTTGAAAGGGTTTGTTATGTAAATATAATTTTACGATTTTGGTGTGGTGATTCATTTTCTGTAAGGAAGTAATGAGAGTTGTGTTTTGTTTTTGTTTCATATTTTTGAGTTATTTTTTATCTATTTTTCAAGTTTTTTTCAGGGGAGTTTAGTGGTTTCTTTGCCATTAGAAACCATTTTATGTTTATATGCATAATAATTTGTATTACATTAATTGCAAAAATAAATTCCATAATTTATTAATATATTTTGATATTATTTATAGCAAAAATAAATTCCATAGTTTATTAATATATTTTGCTATTATTTATATTAGAATATTCATACATAATTTTTATGATGAGTTATTGGATTCTCATTACAGGCGAAGTGGGAAGACTCAGCTTCTAATTTATTTATTGATAAATGCAAGCTCACAAATCGCAATGTATTAATTAAAATTTGGGTTTTACATATGTAAATGCATAAAACTTGAGTGGTATTTATGTAAATCTTCAAATGTTTGACTTGAACAGTTAAGAAGATATCAAATTCCTTGAATGTGATCTTAAATTGGTGGTTTAATTAACTTGCAGTTGCTCAAAACTTTTTCATCATCAAGAAATGTTAATTGAGAATATTGTTGAAAATTTTAACTTTTAAGATAATTTTTTATGCAAAAATAATTCAATTTTAATTAAAAATTATTCAGAATTTTGATTTTGTAAACCTACGGTCAAACTGGTCAGCTTGACAAACAAGATAGATCTGACTATACCAATGTTAGTCAAATTCGAGTAAAATCAAACCCAGATCAAGCCTTTAAATAATTTTTAAAAACTTGTAGTGCACCTGGTCAGCTTGACAAACAAGATAGATCTGACTATATCAATGTCAGTCCAATTCGAGTAAAATCAAATTCAGATCAAGCCCTTAAATAATTTTTAAAAACTTGTAGTGCACAATTTAAAAATCAAACAAATATCCTAAATTTAAATGAGAATATCCTACCATTCCATTCATCACTTTACAATGCACCTTACAAACACCAAAGAACAATAATGAACAAAAAAACAATATAACCAAATCAAAATATACAAATCCTGAACATTGCATTGCCTGCCAGAAGTTAAGACATTTATTTGAGTTGGGAGATCCAAACCACTTATCATCAATCATGGCTTTGGATTATTTCTTGCCACACTTAGCCGAAAATCTTCAAATCATTTTTGTTTTTGCAGTTTCTTCAACCTCATCATAAGCTCCATCAACAGCACAATCAATAGTTCCAAAACCCTCAGATCCCACCTCCCTTGACTCTGAATCACATCTCAGCAGCCTTAGAAGCTCATGAGAAAGATTGCAAGCCTTCCTTGTCCCCTCCACTGTTAACAAAAGGAGACCTGGAATAGGTCCTTCATTCAGAATCAATTCTCTGTATTTCTCCCTGCTGCTCTGACACAGCGAAAGAAGAACACTAACCGCATGCTCTGTACTAATCAACGAACCTTCTTCCACGGTTTCGACCAGAGTCAGAATCCCACCTTTCACTTCCGAGATAGTGAATCTGCCTTCTTCTGATTCAGAAAGAATGGATAGAAGAGAGCGGTGGCTTTGTCGGCAAATTTAGAGTTCTTTTTGCTGTCTTTGAGGAGGGCGAGGAGGGGGATAACGGCGTCGACGGAGAGGAAAAGATTGTCGGTGTTTTCGAAATGATTGGAGAGGTTGTGAAGAGTGGTCACGGCGTCGACGCGGCCCTGAATAGTTCCGGAAGTTAGAATGTTGACAAGGAGAGGGATTGCGCCGGCGGCAGCAATGATTGGTTTATTGGGTTTTGAAGATGATAGAGTGAGGATTGCGGCAGTGGCTGTATCTCTAAGGATGTTATCGGACCTGAGCATTTCGATGAGGAGAGGAACAGCCCCGCTTGAAACTATCTTTTCCTTGTTTCTGAAAGACAATCATGAACGTGTTTAGAAGCAATAGGTTTTGAGATATTAAAAGAATAAAATTTTATCCAACATTTGAGTGTGTGTGTGTGTATTTAAATACATACCAGTCAATTCTTATATATTCACATAGAAAAACTTCAATTTTTACTACATGCTTGAAAATGTTTATTTCAACTTTTAAGAGTTAAAATGGAGGTATTTTATATGTGATATGAAAGATGTGGGCATAAATGTAAATACATAAGAAATGAGCGGCATAGGGATTACTTTTGATAAAGCAATAATCTTTCGCAAGGTTAAGTGCTGAATCAAAAACTCTTTAGATTTTGATTAAATAATTGAGTCAATGCATTTATCACAATTATTGTGAGGATAAAAAAAAATGCAACTGTTTACTTTTCATGATTAACAAAAAAAAACACTTGAAAGAATCATAAAGATCTTGCATAACAATAACAACAAGCCTTTTATCTCACTAAGTGGGGTAAAAAAGAAGGGGTGCAACAGAAGGGCTTCCTAGAAGGACACCCATCCTAATAACATTAGTATAATTTTGATGGGATTCGGTGCACTATTGCCACCCTAAAATGAAAAGGGAGCATTTTCTATGTGCTCATCCAAGATTAGGTTATAAACCATTAGTTATGAGCAACATTGTAAGTATACTTTTAAAAGTAGTTATTGAGTTGAATAGCATGATTTCATGCTTGATATGGATATTTGTCCATGAATAACTTAATGAGTATGATATCTTAAAAGTTATAAAATTTGACTTTCTTCCTAATGTTCTAAAGAATAAAACCAAATATCCGCAATGAAGGGTTTATGTGTGCATGAGAAAACCTACTAATATTCATGCGTTACATGAATTTCCTAACTAAAGGAATAATCTAACATATAGCTACAACCATTTTATTTATCTATGTAAACACTAAATGTGCAATTTATGAGCCTTAGCCTTAAATTAATTGCATGACTTTTCTGCTGCTTCACACGTTGGAGTTTAATACACTAAAGAAAACTAAGTTTATTATACACTCGAAATAAAAAAAAAATGTGAGACATTCAAAACACACTGTAAAAATACGTTGGGTTTCCTTCATACTCAACCAAACGATTAAAAAAAGTAAAACCTAAATATTTTGAATGAAATGATACTCAAAATACTTGTAAACAAACAACCACTAGAAGAAATCACGGCAAGTGCAATCATTTGAATTATAATCCTCACCATCTCCTTCATTAAGACCTGCCTAGCCCTCAAAAGCATAAATCAAAGGAAGCAAAATATGATTTATATAATTTCACGATATGCAAAATTTAAAATTATACCATAAACCCCATTAATAAACAAGAAAAGTTCACATTTCAATTTCTTATTCATATTATATCATCTCCAAATCTTTGAATAATTACAATTTAAAAATTTCTCACCCACCATATTAATTTATTGAAAATAGCCCACTCTATTTTTTATTTTTCATATGTTTTGCAACAAATTTTTCTAAAGAATTTCTAACTTATAATAATATTTATAAATTAAAAAAAAAAATCTTTTATAGTCTCCAAGAGAGTCCTACCAAATCAACAAAGATACCAAGGCAAAGATGATTTTAAGGATAGGTTGATTGAGGTTGACACATCTTTAGGTACATCAATGTTGCCTAGATTACCATGATTGTAGATAAAGAAAAAGTAATGTTCTTTTCTGCGTAAAAAAAGCCTTACCAACTTCAAGAATGCACACACTAGGTGTGCATCAAGTGCCTCCCTTTTTCCTAAATCTCTCCTCATATTCACCTTTGAAATTAAAACTTAAAAATAAACAAGTCCAAAATCTTTCTCCCTCCCTATTTATTCAATCTCAACCACCATTGCACTACACCCTGTAAAACACAATCTCCCTCCAAATATATATAGGGAAAATCACATAAATAGCATACAATTCTCAAGTATTTAACGTATATTACACTTAATTTCACAGACATGGCACTTTGGCGCTTTAATCCTCATGAAAAGACGTAATTGACTTTTCAAAAGTGGTAATAATAGTTCTATTTTTCATGTGAAAGTAAAGATTGGCAAGCACACACATACCAACTTAATAACATTATAATTACAAACCAAACTATCTTCAAATCAGCCCCTACAATTTCAAAAAATGCAAAACAATTTCTGCAACATCAATCAAGAACAAACGAAAATGCTCACTCACTGTTCATTGCGAACTGCCATGTTGAGGAGCGCAAGGAGTGCCGACTCTCTCGAGCCGTGATCCGCAGATTGGAGCATGTCCGCAAGAGGCTGAATGATCGCGGGAACACCGAAAACCGAGCGCCTTCTGGGCGATCCACGAACTATCTTGCGTATATCCCGAGCGGCCTGAGCTCGCACGGCCGCATCACCATTGGCGAGAACCAGCGCGAACTCTTTCACCTGTACTTGTCTTCTAAGCTCCCGATCCTCCTTTGAGCTGCTGGGGCTAGGGATGTTATTAGAGCACGGCCCGAAGGTAGGGTTAGGGTTCTGGCACATCTCCACGGCGCTTCTCCTTCTTCTGCTTTCCCTCTATGAGCTCGAATTCTCTTCTGTTCTCATCTTCTTAAGGCTTCGGGGAACGGAAACCGCGGGGGTTTTCGCGGTGGATAGAATCCCCGAAGCGGCCGCTTAACTTTTTGGATAATTTGTTCTTTTTGGGAAATTTATATATGCAGCACACATAAATATCTCAAACATACACTTTTATACTTGCATATTGTTTGCCAAATGTATCGGCATCAATCTCTAGATAATCTAATGATCCAGATCAAAAAAAGATATGATGAAGATCTTTCTAACGAAAATCTACAGGGTCTCAGTAATCCAATCGGCTACCAACAATGTACAATCATCCCAAATAATCCCTCTTAAAGAAACGGTCGGTCAAAAGTCTAACAAACATCAACGTAAAATTTTCTTAATAGATCCCCTCAAGATCAAAAGAGATCTCAAAAGAATAACAATCAGGCAAGTCGATCAGCCGCTCGAGAGGTAATCATCTACCTCACACAAGCACCGACCGACTTACTATTCAAAGGCCATTCCTTTGAACAATCAAAAGCCGACCGAAACCAGCTCAGTCAGCCAACCCAAAGAACCGCCGAGCAAAATGTCCAAGTACATAAAAGGACATTATAATGTAAAACTTTCTAAATCATTTATCCCTTTTATATATAATATTTTTGTGCTTTAAATATATAAGAGTTTTGTGATATGTTTAAAAAAATCCCTTAAATTTTCGAAAAAATAATGCATCCGGATGTCTGCACGACCAACCACTGGCCGTTACATCGCCCCCCCGATGAGATGTATAGCGACGTGGTGGCCGGTAGTGGGCGTTCAGGCCTGCGGTGTCTAGATATAATATTTTCTCATTAATTTTCACTTATATTCAATGTTATCGTGCATAAAAAAATGTAACACTGTTTAAAATTTAAATTAATGATATTTTCACTTAACAATAATTTAATATTAACTATATTTTCATTTTATAATAATTTTAATCTTTTCTTACCAAGGATATGAAGTTTTAAACTTGAATACTCATAGCCCATTTCCGCTTAACTTTTTGGATAATTTGTTCTTTTTGGGAGCAGACATAAATATCTCAAACATACACTTTTATACTTGCATATTGTGCATATTGTTTGCCAAAAAAAAAAATGTATCGGCATGAATCTCTAGATAATCTAATGATTCAGATCAAAAAAAAATATGATGAAGATCTTTCTAATGAAAATTACAAGGTCTCAGTAATCCAACCAACTACCAACAATGTACAATCATCCAAAATAATCCCTCTTAAAGAAACGGTTGGTCAAAAGTCTAACGGCTCCAATAATTAAACAAGTATCAACACAAAATTTTCTTAATAGAACCCTTGAAGATCAAAAGAGATCTCGAAAGAATAACAATCAGGCAAGTCGATCGGCCGCCCGAAAGGTGGTCGTCTACCTCACACAAGCACCGACCGACTTACTATTCAAAGGCCATTCCTTTGAACAATCAAAAGCCGACCGAAACCAGCTCAGTCAGCCAACCCAAAGAACTGCTGAGCAAAATGTCCAAGTACATAAAAGGACATTATAATGTACAACTTTCTAAATCGGGGATAAAATATAAAATTTTATATTTAATCCCTTTATTTTTGTGCTTTAAATATATAAGAATTTTGTGATATGTATATAAATATCCCTTAAATTTTCGAAAAATAATGCATCCGGATGTCTGCACGGCCAACCACCGGCCGCCACATCACCCCCCGATGAGATGTATCGTGACGTGGTGGCCGGTAGTGGGCGTTCAGGTCTGCAGTGTCTAGATATAATATTTTCTCATTAATTTTCACTTATATTCGATGTTACTGTGCATAAAAAAAAATGCAACACTGTTTAAAAATTAAATTAATGATATTTTCACTTAACAATAATTTAATATTAACTATATTTTTATTTTATAATAATTTTAATCTTTTTTATCAAGATATAAAGTCTTAAACTTAAATACTCATAGCCCATTTTTATAAGTTATGGTTCCACACTTCCACCTTCATATATATATATATTTAAGAAAAAAATATGTTTTATATATGTTTCAAAAGTTTTTAAAAAAAAATTGATATTAAGAATATTATATTTTTAATTAAAATGATTCCAAAAAACCCTTAAGTTTTCTCATAACTACCCCACTCTTAATTTAACAACTTAAATGAAATTTGAACCTAGTTTTAAGAGAATACTCAGTTGTTAACAAATAGCCCCTCTAAAATTCATTTTAGAATACCTAATATTGTTAAGTGGGCTTTTGAAATGACATTACACTATCTTTCATTTTTGTTTTGTTGGGCCAACATAATCAACTTAGAAGATTATATGATTTGATTATGTTATCCAATTATAATGTTATAGCTTTTTTTTATCATAATAAAAAATCTTAATTACCAGAGCTCTGTACATCATCTTTAAGATGTAATTAACCATAAAGGCTTTTATTTCTAAAGAGTTTTGGGTAGCATGTGAGCTAATGGAAATATTTTTTTTTATAGATATGTTTATCACATTGGCACATCACTTCAACTAATATGTATCAGTGAGATTAAGAGTGTTGTTATAATGTCATATATAGAGTTTATTGTTAATAGGGACATGATAGTTATTAAGATGATATTTGTTTTGATTTAGTATAGAGATTTGAACATTAAATATTAGGCCAACAAAATAAGGAATGGTGGAATATTAGTTTTGAATGAAGTCCTTAAAATATGTTGTTTGGATAATCATTAAAGAAATATTGGATATAAATAGAATAGCCATATATTACAATGAATCGCATTATGCAGAGCTGGATGGAGAGAAAAATTCAATTATATTAACTAAAATATTTTATATTTATAGCAACCACGACCAATATTCCTCTTAGATTAGACCATCAACCAGTTCAATCGAATGGCTTGGATGAGGTCAATCTAATCAAATTGGTCAAATTGATCATAATGGGTCAAATTGGATTTAATTAGGTTGCTCTTGATTCAACTGAGAATTTGATAAATATATTTGCCAAGTGTGTATTTTTAGAATATAAGTAACAAATTGAATAATATTGCAAGAGTTAAATGAGGCTGATTTGATCAAAATGACCTTAAAGGTTCATATCAAATCAATGAAAAGTTGATGGAATAATGAGCCTAATCATTAGTCATTTGGGCTTAATGATTATAACATGACTAGCCCATTGAGGCTTACTTAAAGGATTGAGTTTGATTAATATGGACCATTTGAAGGTTGAGGTCCTATTGGTTAAGTTAACTTGAATTCAAAGGATCAATCATGCTAATCCAATATTTAATTCGACACAAAAAAAGTTATGGTTTCCCTTTTGGGATCTACTAGAACCATTTGGTAATTTCAACATATTAACTATAAAGTTTGGTCCTAGTGGGTCTACCTTAGTTACAATGGGTTAGATTGAGCTTAACCATGATCTAAGTTTGTCCATTGATCAATTTAGCTTGATTTATCAATGGCTCCATAAAATAAATATGTTGACTAATTGGCCCAAAATGAACAACTAAGTGCATGAGTTAGGGCAAATGTGTTTGGTTTTAGTCAAACTCAAGACCAAAAAATTAATTAGGTGATCCAATGTTAAATTATACATGATTGAACCATTGCAGTGTTATTGAAACATTAATTGACCCATTGGGTTATATTTAATTCAGGTTTGGCCAAAAGTTGATTCAAGTCACATATGGGCAATTTGAGAAAGGATAGTTATGTGTTTAAAATGCCTTCTTTTGATTGATCAATTGAATTAAGTGCAATGATTTATTTGTGTTTGGTAATATTTAGCTCCATCTTAGGGATGGATTACGTATTTTGGCTTAGCTAATAGGAGATTATGAGAATTGTCATTTTGCTACATCTACCCTAAACCCTAATTTCTAAAAAAAAACAACAAGAAAGTAATTCCCCGATCAAAATTGTGGTGGCGCTTTAAAAAGCAAAACAAGTAGAATTTTGGCTTAGCTATACATCCAATGTTAAATTATACATGATTGAGCCATTGCAGTGTTATTGAAACATTAATTGACCCATTGGGTTATATTTAATTCAGGTTTGGCCAAAAGTTGATTCAAGTCACGTATGGGCAATTTGAGAAAGGATAGTTATGTGTTTAAAATGCCTTCTTTTGATTGATCAATTGAATTAAGTGCAATGATTTATTTATGTTTGGTAATATTTAGCTCAATCTTAGGGATGGATTACGTATTTTGGCTTAGCTAATAGCAGATCATGAGAATCGCCATTTTGCTACATCTACCCTAAACCCTAATTTCTAAGAAAATCAACAAGAAAGCAATTTCCCGATCAGAATTGTGGTGGCTGTTTAAAAAGCAAAACAAGCGGAATACTGTCTCAAATAGACTCTTAATCAACTGCTAGCAACATAGAAAGATAATTACTAATGTAGATGCTAATAACTTCCAAAATGCTAATTTTTAAGAGCACAACAATTCACATCTCAAATGAGAGAGAGAGAGAGAGAGAGCACTCACCATCATCAATAAAACCTTGACGATCACTCGTTCGTTCATATTGCTATATTATTATGACAAGGAAGAAGCTGAAAATACTGATAACTATATTACAAAGAGTATATACATACAAATGTGCAAATTTTTAGTCATAAATATAACTTGTTTCAATATTCTAAAGTGACTACAATTTAATTGAGACAACCAACTAACTACCACTAAGCAAACAAACAATTATATTTCCCCAACGGAAGAGAACGGCTAAGCTACAATGGCGTAGCAACCGTCGTAATTCCGCTCTGCTAGGTCGGCCTCCTCCCCCTCCGTCTCCCTCATTTCTACTGTTTATCTTCCTTGTCGATCATCTCGCTGTTATTGAATAGGTTTTTGCCGAAATCGGAATCGGTGTTCGCGGATCCAAGCTGCGAGATCCGATCCCTGATTAACAGCTATGGGCATAGTGTTTACTCGGCTGCTCTCCGCCATCTTCGGCAACCGGGAGGCTCGAATCCTCGTGCTCGGGCTCGACAATGCCGGAAAAACTACTATACTGTGTACCTCCTCACTCTCGATTCAATATCTTAGTTATTCACGGATTTTGTTTTTTATAAGTTGATGGTTTTCTTTATACAGATCGGCTACAGATGGGTGAGGTGGTCTCTACGATCCCAAGTATGTTTATGAATTAAGATCAAATTCTCAGTTGCGTTGATCGCTGCGATTAGGCTGTGCTAACTGTTGTAAATTTTTTTTTTCATCTTTTCTTACTGATTAGCGATTGGATTCAATGTGGAAACCGTCCAGTACAATAATATTAAATTACAGGTTTGGGATCTGGGTACGTCATCACTTCTTTTTTTTTTTTTGTCTTCTTTTACTCAATATTAGGATTCATAATTTTATATTTGTGTTGTTCTGTTAAGGTTTTTTAGAATTTTCCAGCATTGTTATCTTGCTTTAAAGGCCATGATTGAAACACATACCGAATTACCACACAATTCTAATGTATTTACGTATCTAACACCCAAAATTTGATGCTTACACTTAATTTAGTGTCATAGACATATTCTTGAGAAGGTGTTTTACTTTAAAATGGTAGTGATGGTGGTATTTTTTTATGTGATGCTAAAAATTTGAGTGGTATGTGTGTAAATATGAATGTTTAGGTGTTAGATATGTAAATACATAGGAATTGTGTGGTGTATATATTGTTGTGCTTCAACATCCATGTGTTTTGTCTACCCTGAGATATGTAAATACATAGTAATTGTGTGGTGTATATATTGTTGTGCTTGAACATCCATGTGTTTTGTCTACCCTTTTTGGCATTGTAATTAGTATCTTATGATTTATGGCATTTTTGGCTATCAACATATTTTCTAGTTCCTCATGCAGTAAGGAAGAATCCATTGATCTTGTAAACCAAATACTCATCATGTAAGAGAAGCAATTGATCGAAATCTGATACCAATACGTTTTGATATTATTCCTGATTCAGATCTTAGTTTGAGGACTACAACAACTATTCTCTTTGAATTTCTATGCAAAGGTGGTGTATGTTTCTAGCCATATATATAGTGTTTGGTTACAAGTAAGATTTAGCGTTAGTAGGATTTAGTAAATTTGTAAATTGTAAATCCGTTAAATCTATCCTATATGTTTGGATTTAGTAAATCAGGATTTAAGCCGAATCAAAGGCAAAATTTAGAACCTTGAATCCGAAAATTCATAAATCAATGGATCTCCTGCATCTTTGCAATTGGTTGGATTTAGTAAATCTGGTGATAATTCCTATTAAAGGCACTACCAACACCCCCTTAGTCTATTTCCTTGATTACAAATTGAAATGTGGAAGTAAATCCTTCTTTTGAAGCATAAATGCTTTGGTTTTCTGGGTGTGTTTGATTTTTTTTAACAATTATTGTAGTTGATGATTATTTTGATACTAAATTTTAGTAGATGGCATGATCCCCAAAACCCTAATTAGTGGTTCAAGTTTCAGGTGATACAAAAAACTTGTATGAAATTCCTTCTTCTCCTCCTCTTATTCTCTCAGTTAGAGACAGTATGGTCTTTCCCATTAAAGTTTCTGATGGAGTGGAATCTCTGAAGTATACATGCAAGGATGTGGGAGTATCAAAATTCTTTGAGATGTACATTATAGTCAATATTTTAGAGTGAGAGGAGGAGATGCCAAGTTACACTGGAGAACTTATTAGAGCTAGGAAAGAGAAGGTGTGTATTAGTCAGATGGGAAGAAATACAGTGAGGAAGTTAGTGGGATAAGAAAGAGAAGGGGAAAATGATAACCATGAACATAGTAGTTTAACAAACTAATAAATGATAACCATGAACATATTTAATAATAGATAACCCTTAACATGTTTTATCTTTTCAAGCTAAAATCAAATAAATTATTATAAATTTTAAAAATTCATTAAATAATTCTAATTAATCTTAAAGAAGTATTCTATTCTGTATCATTTTGGGCCATTCTCTCATTGCTTTGAGTACTTACTATTCTCTTGTGCTATTTTTTGGTCCATGAACTTTTGGGATACTTGAGATTTCCTATTGCAGTTAAACAGACGCACTATTTGAGTCTTAATCACTTTCTTTTTTGTCTCCAACAAAATACCAGTCTATTTTACAAGATTAACTAGTATTAGATCCATTCTTAGTAACCAACTTTCATGGTAAATTTGCTTTTGCTTTTCGATTCTATAGTTTCTTTTATAATTGATGTTTTATATCTAAATTAAATTACTGTTGTGGTTTAGCCTAGAAACTTGTGTAGGTATTTTACTATTTTTTTTTTATTTACTTTGATATTAAAAGTGATCCAAATATGTGATTAAAGGTTTTATTGATCCTTCTCGCTATGGATTTTGATGATCTTAACTTAAAGAGTAGATGAAATGATCATACATTGATCTACTTAAAACATGTTTTGATGGTTTAATGACAAGTCTAAAGAAACTTGCTGATGGATTGAATTTTAAAGTAGCTTTCAACTAATTTAGATTTGAAATAGCTTAGTGGATAATTTAGGTTGAAGCATAAATTGGAGTAGATTAAGGTTTAAGAGGCTCTTCACTTATTTTCTTAGTTGGTCGAGCTAGACCACTTCATGTCAAATGCATCTGTGTTGACTATTTTTGGCTAGCTCGACCACTAATTTAAGCTAATTTAAGTTTTGTGAATGTCCCATGGAAATATATTAAAGTTGCATGAAAACTACAAAATTTTTTAGATTAATCAATTTTATGAGCCATTTAAATAGGTATCTAATGACCTTTTATTATAAATTTGAAATAGTCAATATTGTTAATGCTTTGTATCCTCCTTTTACAAATATGATAATGTTGTAGCTGTAGGCCATGACATTTGATTTACTCCCAATTTAACATTTACATTATTACCTTTGCTTTATCAACACAATGGAACCTCTTTCTCTTGTGTTGGAACCTCTCTTGTATTGATCTATTTTTTCCTCCTTTCTTTTATCTCTACCCTTGAGAGCTAAGAACTGAGCAAAAGTAAAGTAATGTAAAGGAAATATCTAATGTATAAGATGTGTTTCTGTTCATTATCATTTGAGGATGATTCTATTCAACTCTAGTTCTAAACTCATTTGCTGACCTTATTCGAACTGGCATATTTAATTCTTCTCGGTCGTGCAATGAAAGATATATCATAAATGCCTAGTTACATATTCATAAAATTAGGCTACTTAAGAGCCTACTCTGCTTTATCCACACTTCCATCCAAAGCTTAACTTAGATGATCAATGCCATGACCTAGATTTTAGATTACATTTGTATCATAATGGAAAAACATATATCAATTAAAGAGACCACCATAACCACTTATGAAGATTTAGGAAAAACATTTGAGAGAATGGTGAAAAAATATAATTTGAAAATAAGATCTTACTATTTTTTTTTTGTAAGCATTACACTTTTTATTGCTTAAAACCTTATAAACTATGGAGGGTTAACAAGAGAAACAAGTAAATTGAGTAGAAGAGATGTTGAAAGGAATCCATAAAACTCATACGACACACTGTTGCCCTTTCGAGATAGATGCAAAGTTGGAGTTGCCTTATTATGATGGCATTGTTGATGTTGAGGTAGTTGATAACTTGCTTGTGCATTTTGGGACATATTTGTTCATTTATAATTATTTTGGCATTCAAACTTCAAAGAATTGCTTCTACTTGTTATTTTTTAATGCACCTTTACTGTGTATTTCTAAGTTGAAGGATTATGTCATGTCAAATCTTACATATAACCTTTTGAAGTGTAATTTTACTCATCAAATATGACGAAGAAAAAATGGACCACTGGTGATTCCATCTAAAATACAACACAGTTTCCAAGGTAATTAATTGCTCTAGAGATATTATTTGAGGAAAGTTATGGTTTAATGAAATATGTAATTAGAATGGAAGCTCTTTTATGGTACAAAATACATTTTAGGTGAGTAACAAAGCTATAACAGTTGAGGTAAAGATCCAATTTGATAATAGTAGCAAGGATTAAAAATTATAATGTGAAGAGAAAGTAAAGAGCTCAAAGTATTGCTTGAGGAGATGATGAAAATCATAAAATCATATACCTTCAATGTGATTTGGCATGGCTTGATGGCATCATCAATAAAATTAGTCTTTGAGCCAACTGAAGGACAGATCACCTTCAGTGAATGACATGCCTAATTTGGATAAGGGTGACTAGACATCTTGCCTTCTTTCTTATTCCATGTTGTTTGATTAGCTAATTAATTAGATGAGCATCCAATCATTTGTTTACCAATTTTATACCTTTGTTTTAAACATGTCAATTTGGTTAGTATAATGCTTTCTCGCCTTTTTGTGTAAATTGGAGAATTATGTATTGTTTAAGCTTGACATTATATATACTCTTAATGGAATAGACTACCATTTCTTTCTCTCTCCAGCCTTCTTTTTGTGCTAGTTGAACTCTCTATCTCCCTCTCTATCTATCTCTACATATGATTTACAAGCAAGTAGCTATTTCAAAGCAAGGTGAAGCTAGGTGAGATAAATTTAATCTTTATTTTTCTTTCCACCAAAAATCTTTAGTATAAAAGGCCAGTGAAATATCTATAAATACCCCAATTGGTTGTGCAAATAAATGATTCACTCCAAAAACCTAGCTAAAGTGCCTTAAATTCATACTAGTAATGTGCCTAGTTTTCTTCATTCACACTACCATTCAAAGCCTAAGTTAGGTAGACTAGTATGATCACTTAGGTTTCGAATCAGAACAAAAGCTTATAAAAATGTTGGATATGAATCTTGGGAGAAAGAGGATTGGAGAGATTGATTGAGGTAAAATATTAATAGCTTATAACTTGATAGATGAATAAATCCTCTTGCCTTAAGCTTAAATCTTCCCCTATTTTGCTTTAAGCTTCTCTAAAAGCTCCTCCTTAATGGATACAACCAAGGCTTTATTTTTATGGAAAACCAAGTTGAGAGAAAGGTGTCAAAAAAGTACTCGGGCGGAGAGGGAAGGCATTGTTTGGAGAGAGAGTAAGGAAAATCTAGTATCTTATTGAGTTTTAAGATGAAGGGTACATGATATTCATGCATGACTTCTAGATTCTTTAGATTCATTTATGTATAATAAGAGCTAAGAGCTATCTGCAATATCAAGCTTTAACAACACTGACTAATTCCAACTTACATGTGAGGAGATTGTTCATCAAATTATTAAAATTGCTTAATCCTTTATAAAGAGAAAAAGAGGGGAAACGCTCGTTTATGATTTCACACTTCTTTAAATATTCTTTGTAGTCTTTTGTGTAGCCTTTTTTTGTTGTCTTTTGCATGTAGCCTTCTTTTCAGGTGCATTTATGTCTATGAAACCCATTTAGCCTCTTAAAATATGTGGCATTGTGTGTTCAATGCCCAATTTATTTGATTTAATTAATACAGTTGACAGGCTAACTCAACTTAAGCTGTTCATGATTTAACTTGCCTTATTTGTTGGAGACCCTCACGGATTACCAATTGATATTATTCTTTGAAAATTCCTTTTTGGGGCATTTACATTTATAGCACACAACTATTATGTATTTACTTGTCTCACACCTAACTTTCATATTTATTACGCACATAGCACTTAAATCTTTAAGTAACACATAAAAAATAGCAGTATTATCACATTTTAAAAGTGAAATACACCTAATGCATAGATTTAAAACAACAAAGCATTATATATGTAATATGAAAGTTTTGATTTGAGCTGTGTAAATAGCTAAGAATTGTGTGCTACATATGTAAATTTGCCTTTTTTTTTTTATTATTGGCTTCTTCAACATCTTGTTCTTAGCTGATTCTTGCTGTCTTCTATTTCAGGTGGGCAGACAAGCATAAGGTATGTCATTCCAATTGTTTGCTTACCCTTATTTGACAAATTTGAGACATCTGCTCTCGCATGAAATAAACGGCTTTTGCTTAATATTGATTTTTTCTATGTGTGATTGGAATTTTATGCATACTGGTGATTATTGCAATGCTCGGATAAGTTTATTCATTGCACATGGGATGATGAGATTCATACTTCTTAGCTGCTGCTCTCAAAACTGCGACTAATCTGGGAATATTTTCATCCCAGGGTCATTTACATGCATTCCACCCAGTTCCTATTTATTTACATATTTAACACCAAAACTTACATATCTCGTCAAAAATACCACTTTAAACTTCTAAAAAGTGAAATGCACCTTTTCATGTAAAAATGAGGTGCTGTATATGTAAATACATAGGAATTAAGTGGTATGTCTGCAAATCTTCCTTTTATTTATTGCTGTAATTGAAAGGATGTAGAGCTTATGGAAATTTAGCATTTGTCTACATTTCAATCCAAAGTTCTTTTTCAAAAGTAAAATTTTATTTATCTTTTTTTTTTAAATCATCTAAACTTCTCTTTGAAATATAAATTTTCAAACTAAACTAAAGAAAATGTCATGTGCTCAATTTATTTTCTTTTTGAATTTTATTTCGTAATCATAATATTATTTAATCTTTTTGTTTCTTTTGTTTGATGAATTTTAAACCATATCCGAAAGATGAATATTTAAATTTTTAGAACAATATACTACTTTATGCAGGCCATACTGGAGATGCTACTTTCCTAATACTCAAGCCGTTATATATGTTGTCGATTCAAGCGACACTGATAGATTGGTGATAGCAAAGGAGGAATTTCATGCTATCTTGGAGGTGCACCAACTATCTCATGTCGGCTTTCATGAACATTTGTATTTAGGGATATTTAGATACATACCACGCAATTCTTATGCATTTACATATCTAACACGTAAAGTTTCAAAATTCCATGCTGGCCGGACTATTCGTTCTGACCAATCTCGGCATTGTTTGTGAAGCACAAAAATTATGCTTGTTTAAACTTTACACTGGATTTTTTTAGCCCTTTTTTTTTTTTTTTTTTTTTGGTGGGAGATTTGTATACAACCATATAATTTCTATGTATTTACATGTCCGACACCTTCACTTCATTATTTACATATATGCCACCTTATGCATGAAAACCTGTATTTCACTTTTTAAAAGTTTAAATAGTGGTGTTTTTTATATGATACAAAAAATTTGGGCGGTATAAATAGATACGTAAATATATAGGAATTGGATGGTATGTATATAAATGTCTTTTTTCTTCAACTTCGTCTGCAAATTCTTCGCTTAACCTGTGTTGTTGTAACTTCTGGTATGGGCAGGAGGAATGACTGTCAAATTTGTTAAGTTGGTATGGGCAAGAGGAAAATTAACATTGTAGTTTTGTGTGTGATGATGTGAAGTCAAATTTGATTCAAAGGAACTAAAATAAATGAGGCGCTTTATCGAAAGTTGATATTCATCAAAGTGACTATAAATACAAATTACATTTAGGGAAAAAAAACTATCTGAAGTTCTATAATTATATTTCCTTCTGTTTCTAATTACTTAATTGATATGCTTTTTGATCTTTCTTACCAGGAAGATGAACTAAAAGGTTCGGTTGTGCTCGTGTATGCGAATAAGCAGGTGAGATTTATACTGCAGCTTTATTGAGATTTTTTGAAGGTCATATCCTCTACTCGTGCTCTTCTATAAGTTTTATTGTAATAGCTTGTTCTGCTTAGGTTTTTCTAGCATTTCTGGTGCTATACAATAAAATTTTCTTTTTCATACAAACTATGAACTGCACTAGATTACTGTTGCAGAAGTTTTCTGGTATTTATTGCAGAAGATTTACATACGTTCACTCTATTCTTATGCTTACATGTCTAACATCTAAACTTCAAGTTTTTACATACATGCCATGCCGCCTTACCTAAGGATGAAATGATGTATTATCTTTTTTTAAGGTAAAATGGTCGTATTTTTTTTATGTGATATGAATGACTTAAGTGGTATAAATATAGAAGGCAAAATTTTGACATTAGATATGTAAATACGTAAGAATTGGCGGGTTTGTATGCAAATGGCCCTATATATATATATATAGATATTTCCATGTGCTTCTAAATCTTGCCCCCTTTATGATATTTTATAGAACAAGACATGAAAACATAGACTCTTCTTGACATTCCATCTCTGCTTTTCCTGCTGCTAGTAGAAATGTATTAGTAATCATTTTTCAAAGCTTATAGCGAATTGGGCATCCTTGTGGTAACGGTAGTAATATATGATTGCATTTATTATACAATTATATTTGCTATTTTCCAGGAAAAAGAATAGCTAGGGCTAGCCAAAAGAGTTGGGCAGGCTTGTAAAACCGTCTGTCCCTTTAATCTCTGTAGCTTATTGACAGGCCTTTAAAGGCTAATCCATACATATTTGGAGAAAATTAAAGCAGAGAATTTTATATATTTTTAATTCTCTCCATATAATTTTAAAATTGCAATTCTGCAGTGTATCTTCTTCCTTATATTTATTTCCTGTTATTTTCTTCTCTCTCTTGGATCATCAAATCCTAATACTACTAAACATAGGAAATTCTTATTCTTGATAAAATTCTAATTAGTGCCGTCTACGTTGATGAAATTGTGATCTTTCTATCTATGCCTCTATTTTATCTATATTTCACCTGTCAATTATCATTTATGTCTTGTTATTTTCCCATTTTTCACAAGCTAATGACTGCACTAGAAAATGAATGGGATGCTGATTTATCTGCCTATGTTCAGAAAATTACAAATTCAGATTTGAAGTTGCTGAAGCGATCTGCCTGCCATCCACCTTAAATTGCTATTTCTATTTTTAAAAATGGGAATTTGCATACATACCACCGAATTCCTATGTATTTACATATCTAACACCATCCACCTTAAATTCCCACACATAAAACATACCACGATTTTGACTTTTAAAAAGTGAAACATGATATTTTCATGCATAGGTAAGGTGGTGTGTTTGTAAAAATTGAAGTTTTGCTGTCAGATATGTAAATACATAAGAATTGAAGGGTATATATGTAAATATTTAAAAAACTTCACCAATCTACCAATCAGGTTTCAACTCCAAAGTAAAATATTACAAAAAAAAAAAATTTATGTGATTCCAAGGTGCTAAAATTAGTGAGATTTTCTCTTTTACTTGGTGCATAAATACATTAGAAAGTATTCAGTAAAAAATACACTAAATATTTAGAGCACATCTTTGATCTAATTAAGTAACTCTTTGCTGTTTTAACCAGTAATATATGAACTATTATAACATTATTGTAGTAGGTCAATTAAAAATAATGAAATAGCAGACTAGTCCCTATACTCTTATTCATTTTGTTGATCGATCATGGGTAAGATCTAAACTAAATAGATGAAAATATTTCTTTGGGGGCATTTACATACATACCGCCGAATTCTTTTGTATTTACACATCTAATACATAAACATCAATTTTTACATCTATAACGCTTGCATTTTTCTCATCACATCACAAATACCACTATTACTAACTTTTAAAAAATAAAATACACCTTTTTCATCCATAGGTTCGATGGTGCAAAATGTTGCAAAATGTAAAATTTAAGGTTCAAGTGTTAGATATGTAAATAGCTAAATACCACTATTACTAACTTTTAAAAAATAAAATACATCTTTTTCATCCATAGGTTGGATGGTGCAAAATGTAAAATTTAAGGTTCGAGTGTTAGAGATGTAAATAGCTAGGAATTGTGCGGTATGTATGTAAATCATCCTTCAAATATTTCCCATCATTGCAAGATATTGTTTGTTTACCCATACCTGGATGTAGGATCTTCCTGGAGCACTTGATGATGCTGCAATAACAGAGGCTTTAGAACTTCACAAGATAAGGAATCGCCAATGGGCCATCTTCAAAACTTCAGCCATCAAGGGAGAAGGTCTCTTTGAGGGTTTGGACTGGTAAATACCCGCATGAGCTTCTGCTAACATAAGGCACTAACATTGTCATGAGTTGATCTATATGATATCAATAGGGGACACGATTAGTATGAAAAATATGAAATGAAAACATAAAATATGAAACCATAATAAAAAATAGGGGCATTTACATATGCAGCACTTGTTCATTTTCAAATTCGCACCCTCTTTCATCCATTTTCAAATTTGCTCAAATATCAAAATTCACGATAAATGATTTGATCATGGCATGTGCAAATGCTAAAAAAAAAAAAAAAAAACAACCGAGGGCTAGTTTTGTAAATAG